CATTTGTTACCTGCCTATCATGTCTTAATTGTCATCTGTCTTTCATTTGTTACCTGCCTATCATGTGTTAATTGTTTGTCATCTGTCTTTCATTTGTTACTTGCCTATCATGTGTTAATTGTTTGTCATCTGTCTTTCATTTGTTACCTGCCTATCATGTGTTAATTGTTTGCCATCTGTCTTTCATTTGTTACCTGCCTATCATGTGTTAATTGTTTGCCATCTGTCTTTCATTTGTTACCTGCCTATCATGTGTTAATTGTCATCTGTCTTTCATTTGTTACCTGCCTATCATGTGTTAATTGTTTGTCATTTGTCATCTTTCTGTCATGTATTAATTGTTTGTCATTTGTCATCTGTCTGTCATTTATTACCTGTCTGTCATTTGTTACTCGTCTGTCATTTGTTACCTGCCTATCATTTTTTACCTGTCTGTCAATTGTTAATTGTTTGTCATTTGTTAATTATCTGTTATTTGTTGCCTGTCTGTCATTTGTTACCTGTCTGTCATTTCCAGATCGAAAAACCAAAAACATTTTTTAATTTAATACATTATGTCTCTGTATACCTTAAAAATTGGCATTCTAGACAAAATAATAAACTTACACTTGGAATTGTACAATTTAAGAAGTAATAATCTAGCATAACTAAGCAACTTTGTATAACTTAAAAATAATATCGTAGTCTAACTAATCAACTATGTACAATATGAAAACGACATCCTACTCAAACTAATTAACTTTTTACAACATGAAAATGACATCCTAGCTAAATTAATCAACTTTTTACAACATGAAAATAACATCCTAGCTAAATTAATCAACCTTGTGCAACATGAAAATAACATCATAGTTTAACTAATCAACTTTGTACAACATGAAAATAACATCCTAGTCTAACTAATCAACTTTTTACAACATGAAAATAACATCCTAGCTAAATTAATCAACCTTGTGCAACATGAAAATAACATCATAGTTTAACTAATCAACTTTGTACAACATGAAAATAACATCCTACTCAAACTAATTAACTTTTTACAACATGAAAATGACATCCTAGCTAAATTAATCAACTTTTTACAACATGAAAATAACATCCTAGCTAATTAATCAACCTTGTGCAACATGAAAATAACAGTTCCTAGCCTAACTAATCAACTTTTTACAACATGAAAATAACATCCTAGTCTGACTAATCAACTTTGTACAACATGAAAATAACATCCTAGTCTAACTAATCAACTTTTTACAACATGAAAATGACATCCTAGCTAAATTAATCAACCTTGTACAATATGAAAATAACAGTCTACTCTAACTAATCAACTTTGTACAACGTGAAAGTAACATCCTAGTTTAGCTAATCAACTTTTTACAACATGAAAATAACATCCTAGTCTAACTAATCAACTTTTTACAACATGAAAATGACATCCTAGCTAAATTAATTAACCTTGTACAACATGAAAATAACATCCTAGTCTAACTAATCAACTTTGTACAACATGAAAATAACATCGTAGTCTAACTAATACACTTTGTACAACATGAAAATAACATCATAGTTTAACTAATCAACTTTGTACAATATGAAAATAACATCCTAATCTAACTAATTAACTTTGTTTAACTAAAAAATAATATGATATTCTAACTAATCAACCTTATACAATGTAAGAAATAACGTCTTAGTCAAACTAATCGACTTTGTACATCTTGAAAACTAACATCTTCGTCTAACCAATCACTTAAGTTTTCTATGAACATAAAAGGTTACATCTTAGTCAACGTAATCACTGGTGGTTGCTATAATATTAAAATTCGAACATCCTACTCTACTTAATCACTAAAACATATAAGTAAATGAAGAATCAGCTTATTGTCTCCAGCAGAACATATCCAGAAAACATAATGTGGTGAAATTCAACCCGTTGGCAAAAGAAAGACCAATCTCTTCTGAGTGTACTGCGTTACCTTAGCACCGCTGGCTTTATCCACTTTATGATTTAACACCCATGGTAATATTCAGGCATTTCGTTCACCAATCTTATTTAATTACTCATGAACACTAGAGGCAAACTATTTATCTATTAACAATTACAAACATAAAAATTCACCTTCACTGTCTTTAAGTGCTACGTTCAGCACTTAACGATATAGTACTGCCTGGCCCAACTTGATCTCAACAATAGATACATACATGGACTGTGTTCAGAGTGTTAGAAAAATGGGCGTAGCTCAATCGTAAGGCTGAGCGAACTACTGGAGGGGATAAAATGCACGCGCTGTCAAAAGGACTGATGGTCTATACGACTGAGATGATTGGCAGATGCCGATGTTATCTTGTGACATTTATCTAATTTCATGCGCGTAGTGATATAAGTCCTTATACAAGTGTGTACGGTTGCCGTGGTGTACGTATATAATTGTGTGCATTTTCATTTAGTGAAGGCCATATGTATACAAATCAGTTAATTAATAATTGTGTATATAATAAAGATGAGTGTATATGTAAGACATCGTTGGAAATTCTTTACTCTTGTGACATACGTCATTGTTTAAAACCAGTTTTCTTGCTTAGATCCAGAATGACTGCGAAGTTTTTCTTACTGCCTTTGTACTCGAAATAATTGGAACTTTAAAGTCAATACAGGAATGACTAGATTAAGCAACTAGATCAGAAACCTATAGAATTCAAGTTACTTACCATTAATTTAAAACTACTGTTCAAACGGAAGGCAGCCAGCTAGCAACCCCTGCAGCCACAAAAGCTTTGACCCTTTAGCCGAATAACAAGATTGACGTTTACTGCTACACAACGCCCACGGGTGAAGATACCATGCATGGCGTCTCGACCCAGTACCTCACGAGCAGCAGCCTGACACGCTAACTACAAGGAAAAGGATGCTACAGTGGGTAGTAAACCTCATAATATGACCAACTGAGAACTGCAGTGTAAACTCTCTCATAAGGGGGTGTGTACATATAAACCTACGGTCTATGCTAGTTCAGCAGATAATTCAACTATGTTGAATGTACACAAGTGAGAGAAGTTTTCACCTATATTTCCTTTTTCTCATAAATCATTTGATTGGTTGTCACCTATATTTCCTTTTTCTCATAAATCATTTGATTGGTTGTCACCTATATTTCCTTTTTCTCATAAATCATTTGATTGGTTGTTTGATTTTAGCATCATACGTCGTTTATTCGCAGGTAGCTATGATGCTGCTATTTTATCATTCATATAGATGTACCACAGTGTTGTTGTTTCATTTACCAAACTGTAACAATTCTATGTTCTTAAATAGACGAAGGCCCGGCATGGCCAAGTAATGAGGGTCGCGGGTTCGAATCCCCCGTCACACCAAACATGCTCTCCCTTTCAGCCGTGGGGGCGTTATAATGTGACGGTCAATCCCACTATTCGTTGGTAAAAGAGTAGCCCAAGAGTTAGCGGTGGGTGGTTATGACTAGCTGCCTTCCCTCTAGTCTTTCACTGCTAAATTAGGGACGGCTAGCGCAGATAGCCCTCGTGTAGCTTTGCGTTAAATTCAAAACAAACCAAACTAAATAGACGATTTAACATATTAAATTTGTTATTCAAGAGATGATTTAGTGTATTACTCAATCTTATTCGAGATAGGAATTAGTGTGTTAATTTTGTTGTTAAAGAGAAGACTTAGTGTATTAGTCGATGCTATTCGAGATAGGAATTAGTGTGTTACTTTGTTGTTAAAGAGAAGATTTAGTGTATTAGTCGATGCTATTCGAGATAGGAATTGGTGTGTTACTTTTGTTGTTAAAGAGAAGATTTAGTGTATTAGTCGATGCTATTCGAGATAGGAATTAGTGTGTTACTTTTGTTGTTAAAGAGAAGATTTAGTGTATTAGTCGATGCTATTCGAGATAGTAACTTACC